TTTGTTGTCTGGCTGGGTGAGTGGTTGGTTTGATGTCTGATTGACTGGCTGACTGAGTGAGTGGCTGGTTTTCTGGCTGGGTGAGAATATGTTTGTTGTCTGATTGACTGGGTGAATGGCTGACTGTATGACTGGGTTAGTGTCTGTTTGTTTGTATGATTGACTGTCTGAATTGGCGACTGATAGTTTGTCTTCTTTGCTGCCTGACTGGTTTTCTGTCCGGCTGGCTGATTGTTTGACTGGTTATGAGGCTGATTAATCTTAGAAAGGCAAGGGCTTTGCTTATAATGACCTCCGCAACTGGGCTTTTGCCAAGTTGAGTGTTCCAGTCATGTTTCGCCGTGGATGCAGGAGTAGTGAGAGGCGCCTTTGCATAGTCTTATTCGAGGCCGGACGATCGGAGGCCTCCGAATGCTCGCCCACGACCCTCATTTCGCCTACCGTTTACAAGCAATCTTTTTTTAATTCCGTCCTGGCGGCCTCTTCGCCTTTCTCCTCGGCGATGGCCGTCTCTCTTGTCCAGATACATTTGGATGATGGTTCAGATAATGTATTTTCTGTTTGGGGGTATAGCCCAGGACAAACCACCTTTTTGGCATTCAACCCACTCGGATGATTCTTCCTTGTCTATCGCACAAGGACTCAGCAGGCTCTGGCAAGCACTCGAGTCTTTGGCACCAGCTACCTGGCTCCAAAGGCATTCACCTACTCCGTTCAAGCATGGTCCCATTGATGGATATGTCCCAACATTCTACAAGGGTGGAGGTGATACATGCCAATACTCTCAGAATAAGATAGTCTAATCCTTCCAGATCACATATTATATAGAACCGACAATATTCCAATGATAGAATAAATAAACCTCACGCAAGTGGGAATTGCATTTTGGCTTGCATCCCAAATATTTGTCTTATTCAGGCTGTACTGGAAAGAGGTTTCATGACAGCCTGTATAGTATCAGCACCCCCAGCCTCAATCGAATGCAGGTTATTTGTGTAAAGCAATGACAAAAATGTAATTACAAATACAATTGCGCCGACAACAGAAATATAATATGAGAGAGACCTGACATACCTTGAGATTCAAGTTCTACAGGTAGTTTCTAAGCTTACTCAATACGAATAAAAAAGCAATCTATTGAATCAAATCATAGTGAGATGTTAAACTACTACTACTACTACTACTACTACTACTACTACTACTACTACCACTACTACTACCATTAGTA